TATATATGCTCTAGTTCTCATCAGAAATAGAGCATCGATATTATTATATACCGGGCAAGTACATCCGGTGTTAATATGTTCTCATAATTTTAGAAGTCATCTCTTAGTGACTCAAGACTACCTTCGTCGACTAGTATATATTAGTAAATGGATAGGCACAGGTAGTCTGTACTAGTGAAGTAGACCCAAATGAAGCGCTGTATCGGTGGGACGTAAGCACTTCGTACCAACATGAAGTCCAAACGAAAGATCTGGGCTTTTATTCAGCTTATGTGAGCAAACGCGATAACCCGCTATTCACAAATAAAACTTTGTTTGAGTAGCATGTACAATGTCATAGGTTTTAGATAAAGAAGGTCACATTTTGCATATAACAGAAGGGATGCTTTAACTGATTGATAGACATTTTTATTAGGCTGTTGCAAGCAAATACAGTGAACATATCTTTGAATTAGTTAAGCTATAATGATTTTCATTTTGTGTTATTGTTTTATTGTTACACACCTATGTATGAAACTGTCATACAATTAACACACGCTTGTCTTAAAGCTGTAAAAGTTTCTCGACAACCATATGCCTATCGTTCGCTTTTTTCTATTTAAATTTTCCCTATATGGCTTCTCAAAATAAATCGATAGTAGGGTCTTATTGCTTACCAGGTATCTTTTTTTGTTGGGGGAGGGGGGGGGGGTATGAAAAACCGCGTAATTGCGGATTTAGAAGCGCGTTGAGGCCAACGTTAGATATTTCTTTGGTCAATCCAAGAAGTGATTGAGGCATGGTGATGAAGTCTGGCCTTGTCATTGAGAACTTAGGCCATATACTTTCGATTGCCATGGGTTCCCCGAAGAGCTTGAGACAGCAGGCTTGGTTTTCAGCGAATATCAAGTATTTCATTGCAAATAGACCGTCACCTTATATATGAACCCATGTGGCACTATTTCCCCTTAAAGGGACGCCATGTTTTCTTATGGTCCTTCTCCGGTTGGCGGCAGAGGTTGAACCGTGTCTCGTCTATAGCGGCCGTATGCTCCAAACGATTTTTTGTTGAATAAAGTCCCGTGATTTGCACGTGAAATACACCGCAACCATTTTTAGTTGGCTTAGAGTCAGTTCACAGATCATCAATTTCTATTCAATTTTCGCATTCTCACTATACGGGTTATAATTCTGTAACACGTGACGTATGAAATGTCAGCGTAAGCCTACATAACCTTCAGATGTGAAACTCTGCAACGTCTCCTTGCCCTTCGTGTCCTATATCTGGCCACCAGTTTGCTGGTCTTCAGCATACTCAATCTGTTTTGATTGTCATGGCTAGCTAATTAAAAGCAAGTATTAGGATATTTGGCAACGTATCGGATTGGAAGAAGAGAGTTCAGCGGTATTTTTATTTAGCAACCGCGTGGTCAATAAGCCAATGAAAATTTCCTGAGGGCAACGAAGTGCACAGGTAGAGAAACGTGCCGCCATCATCAATAGCTGCCTTCAAAAGGTTCCTACCTAAGCTTGCAAGCGTTGAGTATTTGTAATGTTTTTTTGCTAGCCTTGCAAGGAGCACTCGTCGTTCACTTTCGTCAAGCCTAAATGGACTAGTGACCTAAATGGTACAAAAGCAGCTTTATGTAGTAGCAAGATTTATGCAGTTCATTTATGATGCATTGTATGTTTACTGTAAGGCTCTATAGATTGAGGCGAAGGTAGCCGACATACTCTGCCGACATGCTTTGTTTCAGTACTGCTTATAACGAATTTGGTACTAAACTTCTGTCGACTACCTTTCCGGTAGGATGCCATGAGTCGAGTGGCTAACAGCTAATGAAAAGGCCTCAAATAGTATATTTCGATGAGTTTTAGTGTCTTCGATAATATGACAAATAAGCTAGAACTGCACTACCAGAGTAGTAAGTTTCTACCCTCGGCAATTTACCGCCGTGAATAAAACCACATTTCGCTCTATAAATTAGTAACTTTGGTGGCTTCTAGGTTGTGACGCTTAGAGCTTGTGGTTATAGAAGCAATAAATAGTCGTAATAATTTTACTAGGCCTAGACGTACCGCTTTCTCAAATAAGGCTTTCTTTTCAAAACTAATCTTTTATTTCAGATTGAGATTTCAGCTGTTGCTGAGTCGGTGGACCGTTACTCTCTCGTAAGCATACTATCTCTTACCAAACACAAAGATGTTTGGATACAGCCGTACAACCGAAGTGTTCAAGACAGCAACAATAAGGCCGGCCAAAAAGAAGCTCAAAACGAATCGACGGGAAGTGATGGTGAAACTGAGATCTTTGCTAAAGGTATTGTTCTGTTCGGATACGCAAGCACATTAACATGTAAAGGCTAACACATGCCTAAACATCCGCTTTTATTTAGGTTCAGCGTGCGCGTCTAAATGACTGATCATAGAACGGCTACTATAGTATATGTCAACGACGGGACTAGAACTAGCACCGTTTCGGTCACAATTTTATCAGTTCAAGCCGTAACCTGTCGAAGTTTCCGAGTTTTCATTGTTCAGTTTGTGAAACGAAATTTCCATATTTGAGTTGGTATTTTCAGTGCGATGAGGTATTGGGAAACGACAACTTGAACATGAATGGAAAATGTCGTCGATGACCCAAAGTAACAAATCAAGCAGGGCGTTCCGTGATAGCTTGTATTATATATATATATATATATATATATATATATATATATATATATAATGTTCACTCAAATGTCAAAAAAAATGTGTTGATAAAGGTTTGATATATGTAAATAGGCATATCTAATACAACAAGGGATGTTCGCAGGCTATATACGTGAAATTATACTTACTCTATACGTACTCACCTATGAAGGTGGGGTTTTACATTTGATAATAACGATGCTGAAAGTGAGTTAATTACAGTAAGTGGTACTTAAGTGTATCTTGAAAAACCTTAGTACAGAACTTCTGTAAGCACAATAATGAACCCAACCCTCTAGCGTCTTTCATCATTTACTTTCAGGTGATATCGTGTATGGAAAGGTTGGTGTTGTACTTTCGTTAGATGCCATGACTCCAATGTTTCGCGCTAATATCGAAAGATGTTATCTGTGTTCTTCAATCGACGAATCCATCTCCACTAGGTTACCGCTTACTGGCAAGCCTTGCGCCGACCACTCGAAAATGAGTTGCATCTTCAAAATTCTCGTATGTAAAGAAACTCTTTCGTTAACCTACTACAAGCTTAAAAGATCGTAAGTTATATGGATAAGAATAGTCATAGTCTTTCTCTCCGAGCACTTTATGATTTCTCATAATCAATGTATTAATAAGTTGCCCCTTAAGAAGGGAATCGGATTTGACTAAGCCATATCATTCATATGCTCCATGTACAATTTGTGATTATCACTATTAAATTTTAACAACAAAAAATATATAGCAAATAAATAAAAAAAAAAAAAAAAAAAAGAAAAATCAAAGCAAAAAAGCCTGCTGTTCAGGAAAAAAAATGCTTATCATTGTAGATGCATTAAAGCGCAAGGCTCCATAAAGTGTGACGGTGGGAAAAATTAACCGTTCCTGTGCCCATTTGAATGTTATATGTTTTAATCTGCGAGCGTTGTTCTCGAATTCTTTGTATCTAGCATAAGTAGCTATCATTGTTAGATATCCAAAAAGAACTGGAGTTTTTCGAAAACTTCGGAAATAATCTATACCTTTATGTTATCATGTATATTAGGTCACATTGTACAAGCTTTCCTTTGCCGGGCCCTATTGTCTGTTTGCGCATTTTGCCACGCCTCAGTTTATTTTTATTTATGCTCAGGCACCAATCTGGGACTTTGTGAGACTTTGGCGATCGCGAATTTCCAATGAACCGTCCACTGCATGCGCACAAAATGTGTCTTCGTTTATTTAAAATAAAGAAATACAGACAATATATTCGCTAGATGTCGGCTGTGGGGTAGTGCTACCGAGGTAGACTGGCCGAGATGCACTCAAACGGGGCACTCTACCTAAACTATGTTCTCCTGTTTAACACCACAGTCGGTATAAGCTTTTTCTAAAACCTAGAACTTCTCATGTTCTAATTTGAGCGCTTGGCGATATTTATAATTAATAAAGGACGGACATTGAAGGTTTTAAGAGAACCCTATAAACCTTTTCTTCTTTGTTGTGTTCAAATGGACGATACTATCTGAACGTTTATTTACAAAAAGCTCTTTTTTCTTTTATAACCTTCAACCGTAAGTTAGACCCCAATGCGGTCTCAGCCTTCTTCCAACCAAGACTCTATACAAGATATAGAAGATTTTATTTGCCTTATAGGCCTTTTTAAACACTACAAATATCTTGATATACAACGAGTAAGAAAATGTACGACCTAAAAGTACTGTCCTTTATTATAAATCATTTATGCGAACGTTTCAAGGACGATTGGTAGACTTTCGGATCACTTCTATTTATATAAATATCGTTCTTGAGTATGATATGTCTCTTCTCATCTATTTTTACGACATGCGTCCAGGACTCAGCCGACCCATATTCGGTGGACATGTCCCTTGGAGGCACCCAGTTTGGAGCGGTGATGATGTCTCAGGATCCGACATCATTCGATCCGGAGGTCCTTGATGCAGTTCGGGTCAAACAAAGGGCGGATGGTTTTGCTTTTCGGGTAAGTCAATAGCCCCCAAACAACGCCAAATACAATACGCCAACTTTTTTGATTTCATAGAACTTTATAGCCATTATAACAACCCATGGTCTTCCAAAGAATCGTATGTTAAACGTCGACATTGTGCTTCGCCTGCTGGGTGGAATTATTTATTATAGCAGGAATAAACCGGTTTTGGGGACCACCAATGCGGACATAGTCGAATCATGTACCGAGCACCTTTAAGCCTTACGCGCCTTTTTTAACACATTTTTTTTAAAGAAACATTTAGAAGTGTATTGAATGCGCAATCATATCTTCGAACTCACTACCTGTGGGTACTATATGCCAATATTTTGATATTCTATAAGTTTTTTATGCTGTTCAGTCAGTCGATCTCAAATTTGATAAGTTTTTTGCCCTGTAAGTATAAGAGTTATTTCAGTGTTTCTAAAATAATTTAATAAAATAAACATTCAATCTACCTATACCACGAAATCGTGAAGCATTAAGTGTGTCGACCACTAACAATTAACTGATAAAATCGTCTTAGCCGCCAGCCGATATGTCCTGGTTTTCCGTCTTTGTCTTTGAAGATTTGTAAATAAACCAGTACTGCAAGAAAATAATAAAGGAAATTGTTACGTGTAATCACATCGTTTAGGGATATTCTTAATAATACCTAACATACAGAAGCTATGATCTACTCTTGATGTAGGTGGCTCCGCTTTTCGAGCATACTGCTGCAACCAACTTTCATAGTCAAAGCGAGCTCGACAATAGAATGGATGGGCGAAACGTGACAAGAACTTACTGGCACGTTCACTGCGTGTTTACTGTAGATCACGAAAATGATAACGGTTACCAACCAAGTGCCGATAGGTGTGTACGTAAATTTAAGTTACACAGAAATGCATTTGTGAACAAGACGTTTTTATTAAAGTGAACTTCATTATGATTCTCGCCATCAATTATCATCTCATCTAAAAGTGATAATCGTAATAGTAATTATTAATATTATCGTTAATTGCCCAATGAACATTTAGTACACGCGATCGTCGAAGCACCACGTTCGGCATGCGACCCAGATCATCGCGCCTTAACCGCCATAGCTTATCACCAACGAGGGTCACGAGAGAATCATTCCGAGATATCCTTAAGGATCAGAATGAAGACGACATCCGAGAGGGTTCGGCCCTACTCCTTCTTGAATCCTACGACGGCTATCTGGCGTCGCTTGGATCGGAAGGGTCCGGTCTATGGCATTTGCTAGTGACGTCGCTACAGCATTCCTCCTCTTCACCTCTACCGCTTTTGTTTTTCCTCTTCGCTGGGTGTATCCTCTTCCTTATTATCCTTTTGCTGCTTCTTAGCGCAGTTCGCTTTGCCAAACGCGCCCCGCGATACCAGCCCCCGCTAAAGACAGCGGGCACGACCAGCCCAGGCGCACAGATTATCAATGCCAATAATAATCACCAGGTAGGCTATCTTTAATCTGTTTTGCTATTGTCAAGACTCTCCGCTTCTGCGTCTGATATGCATACAGAAAGTTTCGGAGGCCGTACGTCTTCGCTGTTCAGTATAGATTGCAGTGAGATTTCATTGTTATAGGCGGTATCGATAGAATTATTCGAGTGAACTGTATTTTGTTGATCCAAGAAGGCTGATATTAATCATCTCATGAAGGTCAGACTTCAATCTCCAGAACGGGCTGAGACACGCTAAGCAAAGAAAACAAGTGATAAATTAACAATATTTACGTTAATAGGCATATTTGTGGTTTCAATCAACTCTTAGAATATTACTGGAACGTAGGCCCATGTTTATGCAATACGATTTCCCATTAGTATTTCCTTTAATTGACTTGGTCCTATGAAAAATTTTAGGTCGTCACAATGCACGTCTTCGGTCCGTGCGAAGAGCAGTCGAATGGTAAGCTGAAAATATCTTCACCGAATGGCTCACAGGAGAAAATTTTGTATCCGCCGCCATCGCCGCAATCCTCGCGTCATGTCGCACTTGCTGAATCCGACCCGTCCTAGTCAAGAAGCAACTTAAGGTTTTTATCCGACTAAGGCCAACGTGCTGCGCTATTAGAGTCGGAGCTATCCCACTGCTTAGGCACAGCGCAAACGAACCCCCAGCACTGAAATCCGTACCTTGTATATCTATCGATAGTGAGTGATTATAAAATGTGAAAATAGTATCTAAGTATTTGATCAGAACTTTTAAGTAAGCACGGGCAGTTTCTCTACTAAATGATATCAGTCGCGGCGTTTATTAACTATTACCGACGTTTCTCGACCCCTCGTGGCTCTTGGCATCGTTACAACAATCATATTGCGGGGGCACTGTTCGTCTTAAATGAAAATGTGGGGACCGATGTAGAAGAACAGATGAGAATACTATGAACATAAGTGGCAGAAAAATTCCGTGAATTTACAAAAAAAAATGCATTTTTTGCTATTATAACAGGCGACGATTTTTATTTTAAATAAACACCTTTTTGTAAAAAAAAATACTCAGTAATTTGTGAAATTCTACCTTTGCTTAACTTAAACTATCCTAATATGTTGTACATCCGCTGCATTGTCTATATCCACCATCATCTAGTGAGAGAAACCGACAAAGAACAACAGGTGGATATCTAAGCGTCGCTAGCTGCATGCGAGGTTTGTTATAGGGAAAGCCTTTAATGAACGGCCTTCTAGTGTGAGGCCACTTTTTGCTTATAAACAGATGTACGTCTAAAAACTGCAGCAATGGAGAGTCTAGAGGCCTGGTCAGATGGACTTTCCACAGGTCGCGAGGATCATTGTATAGCAGAGACAATGGTCATGTAATTATTACTTCCATAGTAGAAGAGTATAGAAATAAAATAGCAACTGCGGGTGAAAAGTGCGTATTGTTAAATTGTCACGCAGCTTACCCATTTTGAATTCTATCACCTTTATTAAATGATGATAAAGTGACTAATTAAGCAGTTAGTGCAAAACAAGCTTTCTAGTAGATGTGTTATACAGAAGGAGGACAAAAGTGTACATTGCTTTGTATATTTCACATGGGACAGGTATTCGAGAGAACGTGAAAGCACGAGAGATTTGTAAATAAACTGAACAAACGAGTAATAAACTTATTTAATAATATTACCTATCGTCTGCGTCCTGGCTAATCATGTTGGCTATATTTATGATTCTCTATTTTAAAACCTAACAGGACAGAAACTAATTTGATCGTTAATATAATATTTAACGTACTAATCCATCTTACGATTTCGATCGAACCGGACATCGTTTATAGATGACATTTAGCGCGGCAAACAATTGAACCGTCTACAAAGATGCTGTCGGTTTCAAATACTAATAAATTTTAGGCCACGTAAAGGTCCGTAAAGGCCACCGCAATCACGTAAAGGTCCGTTATCTAACTATCATCTTGAAAATCTGAGTTCCTTTTACATTCTAACCTTAATACATTGTAAACCTTTGTTCAAAAATAAATGTGTCCATTAGGTTTTCATAGTGTTGGATAATCGTCCGTTGTTTCCCCGCGAAGAGCAGAATTTCAATTACATACAGATGAAATTCCATAGGTTCAAGATCCGATGCAGTCTCGAGTTTGGCGGCGAGATTAAGTAGGTCCATGTATTAAGCGCTCTGCTGCTTTCCCAAACAGAGAAACGAGCATGCTCGAAGTGTTGCGCGAAAAAAGTAAACCAACACTTGACGGATATTGCGGAATGTCTACGGAAATCAGGCACTAAGTGAAGCTAAAGTAAACAAGTAACTCAGGCGTTTCAAACGTGGACCGAAGCCTATCCAGGACATGTTGCAAACCCGGCACAGCGATGATGGTCATGAACTAAGGTCCTTCTAATGGTTTACATACTGCGACTGTCGAAAAATCGCTCATCATTTGTTTGGCCCCACCGTCAGCAACAAGTACAATCGTAACGAGCTTAGCACGCGCGAGTCTGTCTGACGCAAAGGACAGATCCTAGGTTTTCGGTCACTGCTTGCACTGCAATTTTTGCGAAAAATTTGATGTGTGTATTGCCTCGGCCCTGTCGGGGCTTAGCCCGTCCAACTTTTTCCCATTACCGAAACTGAAGACAAGCAGACTTGCAGAGCAAGCGTTTCGACATAAAAGAGGAAATAAAGGAAAAGTCGTGACCCGAGCTGAGAGCTATCCCGACTTTAAAAAAGTGGTTTGAGATAAGAAAAGAAAGTCGTACTGCGTTTGGCGGAAATGACTTCAAAGGGAACCGCTTTAATTGGGACAATCGAATAAATATTTATGAATCTGGTATAAACGACTTATTAAATTTTGGGTGTTTCGTCACTCTTTACGCGTGGGAACACAGTTCTAACTTGTCGCGTGATGTGGACTAGTGCGTTTAAGATGAACCCTTATCACTATCAACAGTGCTCAATGACATGAATATCCTAACGCAAAAAAAAAAAAAAGAAGAAAAAAAAAAGAAGAAAAAAAAAGCTTGAAAACGTTTCGATGTTTAGCTGATTCTCAAATATTTACTACATTTGTTAAATGAACAGGATCACCAAATGTTATTTAGTTTTATTGTTTTAGTCTTCTAAATTCATTAATACGATTAAGAGGAAGTCTTCGTGAAGCATATATGTGATAAGAAATTTTGCAAACAATATAGCAAACGTCTCAAACTTTTTGATAACTTTGAATAACAGTTTTTGTCAAAATTGTGAAGCACGTCGCCGAAAATTTAAGTAAAACAAACGAATAGTTATCATTTTATTTATTATAGGATATATTACATACATTATTATTACAATATATATTTATTATAAAATATAGTACAGATAACGCAATGTATCCGTACCGGGGAATTTTATTTGAGCCAATTAGACGCGCAAGATGAATAATAAGCCGACAAGATATTTTTATTCGACACCTGTTTGTGCTTACTGGAATCTGCTTGAACATCTTCGTCCTATCAACCAGAAAAAAATAGGTGTTTGTATCCATATGCTCCTATAAATGCTCTGCTGTGTAACGAATATTGGCCTACTAGAAGGGAGTACGTCGGTCGATATGGGACTTTAGACAAAGCTCTTCGTAATACCTGAAGCCCTTAGGAACCGGTAGCCTCGTCATTTGCGATGACTAAGGACACATATTAAACGATCGATAATATTTAACTGAAATTACTGTATAATAAACAGCAGAGAATCTTGTTATCAAGTATTAATTTGTCAATCACAAGGTTAAATGTGAACATGTCCTTAGCAAGACAAGCTTACGAAGCCTAAAAATAAAAGTGTTTATATAGAGAAACGTACGTTGAAACAGGCGCCTGGAATTTTGCGTTCAAAAGAACACTCAAGGTAGAAGGGATCGAAGTGACTTTCCAGTTTTTTGGAAGTACGCTTGGAGCGTATGAACGGAAAAATAAAGTTTGTACTTGAAAACAGTAGTTTATAATTGAAGTGGAAATTAAACATGTCTAGAAAACGAGCATTGGAAAATGTATAATATACTTTAATCATAGCATTACAATAGTAATTAACCGCAGTTACGTGTCGTTGCTATTGGCCCATAAACAGTTTACTTTATATATATATATATATATATATATATATGTATGTATGTATATATATATATATATATATATATATAAAGGTAAACACGAGGTTTGCCGTTTAAGCTAATCCGGAAACTAAAAGATGCAGGACTTAAGCAGCATAGGTATATAGATATAGCCCCTTGATAGCGTTGGGTTCATTCGTACTTTTGTCGATATCCATGATTATAATACTTATATTCGACATAATCAGTAGCCGATATTCTCTTTTTTTCAAAGAGTTGTTAATTTCTATAACAAAATCGTAAATGTGTGGCTCTTTGTGCCTTTTGTTATTTCAAGCTTCTTCGACGTAAACCTTTCTAGCATCAATAACGGCAGTTGTAACATATACCTGCTACGATATATAGCTGTATGGGGTAGCTTGTTTCCGCGATAGATTAGTGGGGTGCTGGTCTTAGGGGTACGTTGTGGTTTCGGGTTTGACTTCGGGCAACGACACACTTCATTTCGAGCCAGGAGCGACCCATCTGACAGAATGCCTAGCGGCAAAATGGAGATGAACTTTGAAACATTTATCTAATGCGGAGATGTTTTTTGCTTACCGTTTAATTGTTTCGGTCAGCGAATTAGTTTATCGATAGAGCATCATTGTTGCTGGAATATGGGTCAAGTTCCCAAATGTATCATGTTTTTAAATGTATCATGAATTACGTAAACCCTGTGTCTTGTTGATCAGACTTCGATGCTAAGCATCAGACGACCACTCAGTCCGACGCTGTTGCTTGCATGGGAGCAACCGAGATCACAGTAGTTACTTTAGTTTGTAGAAGATGCTGTAGGGACTAAGCACTGGCAACCTCAAAGGGGTGCGAACACACAAAAAAGGCTGATAAAATGGGAGAGCTGGTATAGGGTTTTTCGTTAGAGAGGCAATTCACGTATCTGTACCGGGCAAGATCCAGTTTCAATGGCAGCTAGCGGCGTGGAAGAAACTGCAGCCGCCGCCGACACAACATACGTCCATTTATGTCGTACGATTGATGTATATCAAAACAGCCAAACTTGACCAATGCGCAAGGATTATGCAGAGTTGCGCCATGCTCACGGCAAGACAAACTGCGCACGAGTTTACTAAACAATTTAACATAACATTGCAACTAAACGGGCAGGGAACGATCGGATGGTGGTATTCTTAGTACGGCATGCTCTGCTTTGCAGGCGCGATGAGCCTGAATAAGCAAGCGGCCGAAGTTTCGTTTGAGAATATCAGTGTTTTGACGGAGACATACAGTTCAATATCTCTTTAATCTTTCGTTTTTTTTTGCTAATCGATTTTCTAAAAATAATTACTTTCAGGGAATCGAAACTGGCTGCTTAAATAATATTACAAGATCATGGAATTTTTGTTATACCGCTCGTTTTTGTGTCTGTAAGTGGAAACAGAGTTCCAGCAGAGGTTCTGTGTCAAAGGCAAGACTTTGCGAGCCCACCTGGATGAAGACAATCTTAAGCAATTTACCACAACCGTTCGCTGCTCTCTAGAGGCTACGCCTACTGATCATAGATAAACTTGAGACTTACACGTATCTAATTACGATTAAGTTCATAAGACAAGAATGTCTACCTTATCGCACTACAACACCTAGACGTGACCGTCTGAATCTCAGTTTCGTATTACTTGACAGAATCTCACTGCTTATGGCAGAAGGCTCGCTATCCGTGACAAAAACTGAGTACGAATAATAACTGAAGAAATATTGTCAGAGAGTTTCAGAAGACAGCTTTTATGGTGCTGAGAAAAAAAACATATTCACAGAGCAAGTTTTCTTCCATTAGTAGCAGAGGCGGTTGGCAAAATCGGCTCATCGCAGAGTGGCATGTCAACCGCGCGTTTTCAGAAATGACTGATGACATAAAAAAAAGAATGATGAAATTTCTGATTGGTTATTTGTCAAAACAATGGAGTATCTATTATTTTTTTGCATACGTGGGGTGCAATCGTCCAAATATACTGGTGTGACATAGGTAAAAAAAATATTCTCTTTTCATAGATATAACTTTTTAAAAAAAACCCTATAGAAAAATGCAGTAACATCAACCACGTGGTTATAGAATACGTGCTTTAGGTCCTTGCTCCACAGCAAATAGCCAACTTTTAGCAACAAATAGCCAATAGTTTGTTTTTTTTTTTACAGAAATCGAACTATATCAATGGCAAAATGCGAGTTAGGTTTATTTTAACTGTAGCGTAAATATAACTTGACCAAATTTCAAGCAAGTTTGCCAACTTATTGTAGCTTTTCCATTAGCCTATTATGTAATGGAAAAGCGACACTTGTGCTAAACTAGTTCCGTTTCGTAATTATAAGTTGGTCTATATTGTTTAATGTATTTTATCAAGTATCGCACCTCGTATAAATTAGATGTTAATCCCAGTAGCAGGCACGTGTGGCATTGTGTGTTCGTGATGTAAACAGCAACCTATCCGTAAAGATATCTTGGGAGTAGATCTGCGCAGAATTTTGTAAGTGAACAGAAAGGCCTTCATCGAAA